ATATATATATATATATATATATATATATATATTATATAAAACTAAAAAATCTTAATTAAAATAACAAAACGAGAAACATTTTATTATTTTACGCAAAATTATCTTATATTATTTTAAATATTAAATTTTAATGTCAAATTAACAGTTCTGTATACTGTATAAAAAAATTTTATTTTAAAATAATTTATTTAAATTTTAGGATTTATTATATATGAAATTATTTACTTATAAATTAGAAAACTTTTCTAAAGCAGCAAATAATACGATTGCCATCAAATGGCCAGATCTACCATGTTATTGTCTGTAAACTGATCCAAGTGACGTATCATGACGTGTTTGTTCTAAACACCAACCTGTTTAAATTCTGGCGATAGATGTTAAGATCCGCGAAAGCTGGCTCATCTCTGTTCACAAGAAGACTACTGCAAGCAATTTTAAATCGTTTCAGGAAAGTCATTATGACATCATCTCGCACATTTGGCACTATATATCTTCAGAAGAGATCCACTTTGTTTTTATATAAAGTGCTATTTGCTTAAACGTGATTCATAGTTTATTTTATATGATCAGCGTGCTTAATTACGAAAAGAACTACGTCATGATTCTAATGAAATGAGTCGCTGCTCTAATAATATATACTAATATTTTTTCATCACAAAGAAAGAGACGGTCAAAATGAGTTATTATTCATGTTATTTTTGTAAAATTTGATATATCTTATTATATTAAACATTATTAATTATCTGATTAATTGATAATTTTCACCGATTATTTAATATTACTAATGAACATAAAATAACTAAACAGACAGCATTTTCGAATAATAACACAAAATCGCATGCTTTAAATTTTTGCTCATATGATCTTACAATGCATCATGTCATAACAAGAAAATTCTTAGAAGATACATATGCTTCTCAACATGTAAACCGGAATAGAATTTTGAACTATGACGTTGATTATCAGTTCAAGAAGTAAAGATTTCCGTATAAATTGGAAAGATAACAATCTTTAGTTTCGTGTAAAAGCAATTTCGCAACTTTTCATTGAAACAGCTATGTTTCATCAAACAAAAATGTATGGTTTACAATATTAATATTAATCCTAGATTTTATCTTAATGTTTTTACGAATATAAAAATCAGAATTCCAGGGCGTTCATTAAATTTCTATATATCAGATTTTCCTTTCATCTTTTTATATAAATTATTATGTGATACCAAGAAAATTTTTAAGAAGATAGTAAATTTATTATATTAAATTATATAAAAAATAATTACAAAGCAAACACTATTATAAAGAAATATTACAAATATTATAAAGCATATTATAATACTTTTAATTTTAAACTGACTAGTAATTGCTTTTACTTATCACATGGTATATTGAATATTATCTATATTTATTTATCAAGACTGAATCCATATATAACTTCAAGAATATTTATGATTTATGAATTTTTTCTTAAACGGAACATTTTAGTATCAAGAGGTCTATTTAATGCACTGACTATATCTTTTTAAATTTAATTGTTTGTCAACGATATTGATATCGAGAAGAAAAGATAATAACATTATTTACTTATACATTATATCAAAAAATGTTTGCAAAAATTGTCACAAAAATTTATTATATAAAAATTTATTAAATTTGTTCCTAATACGGAACACATTTTTCATTCCGTTTCGTTCCGTCCGCCCAGAGTTAGACTCAACGACGCGGCGCACGATATATTTTTGACTTGTGATGGTCTAAAGCTATTTCAAGACGAAGCCAAATCAACCTTCTGCACCAATATGATTCTTCGTTCTCACTTTCCCTTCTGGCCTCTTTATTCTCTACTATTTTCCCTTTTCCGTCTCTGGAAATATTTTTTTTCGAGAATATT